ATTGAGCGCTTTATTGCACCCGGTACGGCCGTATCCAGGTTTGCTTTGTGCCTAATGAAACGAGCCGCGGGAAACGGATACACGGCCGCATCGTTAACAGTGTATCATTTATTCCCTCACCCCCTAACCGACGTCGTTGTACATTTTAATTCATAGAAGGCACGGGGGTTTTCGTTCGTTCGCGGATATTGCGGCGCAATCACATTATGCATCTCGTTTCACGAGAAACGGCCGTGAAAAGCTGGGACCCCGGAGCGACGGCCGGGGGAAGGAGGAGAACTTATAAAGACAGGAAACGGGATTACCTTATCAGTCTTATTCTCTGAAATAATCAAGACGTCTGTTCCGTATTCTTATTCCATCCCCGTGTCTCCTCCCCTTGGAACTGCCCCTCGCCGCAGCCGCCGGCAAACACGCCGATCGCTAACTTTCATCCCCCGGCCGCCGTCGAACATTATCACTCGCAGTAAACGGCGAAGTTAGGGCTAGAGTATACATCATCTCCCCCTCCTTTGCGTTTCCGTATCTCGATTATGGCGTCGGTGTCCTCCGAAGGCATCGGTAAACGGAAGATATACGAGAGGCCCGTGCTAGAAAGCGCCGAGGAAAACTTTTATCTGTCGTTCCAGGAAATATCAATAACTGATCCTCCGCCCCCTCGGAACAGTTTCTATTCCAACGTGGAAATATACGGACAGAACAGGGCAGAAGCCCGAGCCAGCCCCGGCTCGGCCCGGCCGCCTTCATCCCCCTCGTCCCGGGCGAATGCCATATGAAACGTGCCCAAGTATATCCCCCTTTCGAATCGGAATGCAGCGGTCTCCGCGTAGACGTTCGGGAAATGCCCTATTCCGAAAGATGGCACGTGTCGTTGCCGCCTTGGATTTACTGTTTAGAATCGGATCACCGTTCGAGAATGGCGAGAAAACGTTCGAGATCCGTATCGTTCCCATTCCGACGGCGCGAGTTACGTCCGGCGACACCGTCGATTAACACGAACGTCGCGCGATTTTCATAGCGTCGACCGGAGTCGTCGAAGCTTGTACGCGACGAAACAACGCGCGGTCGAAAGGATGCCGTTCGAAATTATTCGATGGAATCGCGATTATGTTGAGTACCGAGCAATAGGCCGTTAATAACTCCGAACGGTTTGCGGACAATTATCAATTCCATCCGGCCGACATTGAACGTGTTAATCCAACGGTGGCCGACCGAAGTGGATCGTCGTTACGAGTGAATTCGAGAAGCTCGTGATACTTGTCAAACCGAGATCCGGGTCGAGCTGTTCAATTATGAATCCGCGAATCGGAGCGTGAACTTTCGAGCACCTCCACGAATACTTTGCAACTATCATCCCCGCCGCGCGGGCGTTCGTCCTCCACGGTGCTCAGGGTTAAGAACAAATCGACCGTCTGGCAATCGTCGGGGATCGTCGAAGTATTTTCCCCGGCGAAGCGTTGCGTGCAGCTTACCGTAACGACAAGTGGAATTCCGTTGGAGGCAGGAGCATAAAAGCCGAAGAGCAAACGTGCGACGGATCCCCGCAGTCGAACGACGGCATCCCGCGGCGTGCCTCGAATTATATAATTACGATCCCCGCGTAAAACGTCGCGGCGCTCGTCCCCGTTTAATACGGCTACGCGAATCAATGATCGAAACCGGGCCGGGTCCTCGCGCCGAGAATTTATTCGATTCGCTCGTGTGCGATATTAATTCGTCCGAATGCGCCTCGATGGCGGCCCGCTCGGCGTACTTGTTTTTCCATTAAAATCGCTAAATAAACGCGGGCACGTGTCCCCGTTTCAATCGACCAGCTCAATTTCACGGGGATGGGTCGCTCGCGACTAGATTTCCAAACTGATGATCCACCCTCGGAAAAACGAGCGTATCGTTTCATGGAAACAACAGTTTAATAGTAATTCGTATACTCCGTATACTCGTACAAAGTTTCATACGCTATAAATACAGAACACCCGCAGCGTACGCGCGATCGTCAAACAATCGGTGTCTCCTCCGACGATGGACGAACCGTCGCTCGCGAATGATCGCGATGACTCGTCGAGAGAACCGTCTAACCCCCAAAAGAAAGGGAACTAAGGACGCTCCGCTTGTTTTCCCGTTGTCGAGCCACGACTCCGACGAGAGTATACCGCGACGGAGAACGAACACGGAGAAATGGCCGGTCGCAGAGTATGGTCCTCGCCGCTCGAGATTTATCGAAGCCGAACACCGACGCATTAGCGGTGGAGGAGCCACGGAACGAAGGTAACGAAGCGAGGGAGGAAAATCGACGAGAGTGTCGAGGAGAGGACGGCGTCGACCAACCTCTCCACCCTGCTCCGACCCTCCCGAGCTTCTCGGAGCCGAGAAGGTCTTTCAAGACGTGTAACGAATCAATCGAGATCGGAAGCTTCGCCGATGATATCTGTCGGACGGATAACGCGCGTGCGGGTCAGACGGTCCTCGAAACGAATATTCTCGCGACGCGTACGCCATCGAGCACATGCGCTGCGCGCGTATAATTTACAGAGCAGATTGGAAGACGCGTGGAAGTCACCTGGCGCTGATTAAAGATTCGACGCTGATAAACCGATTCGCAGATAAGTAGTGTAATTACCAGCTAGATTTAATTCCGTCGAGATTAAAAGATAGGATGAACGAAAGCGGAGAGGACAGAAGACTGCTTCTTCTTCGTCCATGATCCCTAAAGGTGCGTTCACGCTAGAGCTCGACGATACAAATACTTCGATATGTTTACATTTCCAGCGGCTCCACTGTGCTAAAGACATTTCACTCTGTTTGCAGTTCTCTTAGCTTCTATCGCGGCTCCGCTGCGAACTCACCCTAAGACACGTGAAATCGTCGGAAATTCATGCTTAGCTCGTGAAAGCCAATGATGCCTACGATATTCGCATGTTCGATTCGCCGATACGAACCGAATTTCGCAGTCGTGCGTACGAAGTTCCGGAGAAGTCGTGCGCGTCAAGACGGTTCTCCGTCTCGTTCCGTCGCGGATGAGGAACGAGCAGGACCGCGAACGACTCTTTTAACGAATAAGTTGGCCGAGTTATTTCGTTCGTTAGTTCTGTATTATGTCCTTGAGCCGCGTGACGATACGCGACACGTAGTCCTGCAGCATCGGTTGCCTCGCTTTCCCTACGTCCATCACCTCCTGGTGGTTCGCCTCCTCGTAGTTCTCGTAGTCGACGATACACTGGTTCGTGATCAGGCTGAACGCGAACACCATCAGCTCGCAGTGTCTGGCGGTGATCACCTCGTGAACGGTGGACATTCCTGAATTAGAAAAGCTTCAATGAAGAATCGGGTGTGAACGGTGTTAACGCTAGAACTACCGAGCATTTAATACGATTAATATGCAATTCCTATAAAAATGACAATAGATTATTTTCAGTTTCTTCGGGCATTCATTATAGTACTGAAATGAAACTATTTATTTTCAAAATCGTTTCGAATATTCGATGCTTCGAAGATATCAATAATTGCTGAACAAAGAAACCAGTCATTTGACGGTAGTTCTAGTAAAAAGTGTTTATAAGTGGAACGTGGGATTGTACAGACCGACAGCGTCGACTCCAACCATCCTCAGCATCTTCAGTTCCGCCACGGTCTCGAAATTCGGCCCGCCGAGGCACGTGTACACGCCCTCGTGCACGATGTCCCCGATGCCCATCTCCTTGGCCACTTCTTGGCCCACTCCTAACAGCATTTTGTCGTACGCCTTGTTCATCGGCGGAAATCTCGGGCCGAATCTAACGGGAACAGACGGAATCGTTAGGGGATCCTTCGAAACCGCAACCCCTGGCGATATGTTCGACGACTCCCCCGTCGAATGAACTTTTTAGCTACCGTACACTGTAATGGCTTTCGTGTGTATCATCTTTCCGAACAATACGCTGTACAATTATTCTGTCAACGACAGTTGTGCACATTACTGACGTAACTGCGTGGACAATTCTATCAATCTGAAATCTCAGTGATGTCACAGATACGCAGACCGCGTGAAACCCTAAAGAGGTAAGCTTCGCGGCTGGTCTCGTAGGTAGAAGGTTAAGAAGGAGTTACAGGTGAACTCGATGTTAAACATATTTAGGAACAGCGTTCCGTTTGTTAAATTTAGTTTGAAATCCTCGCCCGGTTCGATATTGCGAGCAGGGGCGGGAGATTGGCAGAGATATTTAATGAACTCTATTAATAAGAACAGTTAGAAGAATAAAAGGAGGAGGACTGCGAGGAAGTAAACTCCCGTGAGCTGCCGGATGAAAGGTCAAAGCGAGCCGCGGAGCCGTGAACGAACGAGCCGGGAAAGCGGACACGAAAAAACCGAGGGAGAAACGGGGCACCGGCCGGAGGGAAATTCTTACGTAAATACGTCAATCAGATTCTTTATGCCGTCGAGTAAATAGTTCATCAATCCGATTCAAGGAGTTGTTCCGGCGAAATAGATTAATTTCATTCCATCCAGCGCCCTCGAGGACCACCGTACGGGGCTGGCGTTTTCGCCCTCTCAACCCCCTCCTCCGGCGGAGCCACGAAGACGTCGTCGGGCTCCGCGATCCGCGAACGAGCGTCGTCGACGACTTTCCTCCCGGAAACGAGCTCGAAAGCCTTTGTCGACTGAAAGCGGATTCGAATTCATTGCCGTTCACGCCGTGAATCTACCTACCGCCGCTTTCACCCGCCATTTCTTCTCCTTTTTCCCCTTATTGTTCCCTCCCTCCGCTCGCCTCTTTTCCCAGCCGTCGCGTTTTTCCGCCGTTCCCCTCCCGCCGACGCGATCGAGAAGGCGCAATCGTCGCTAATTTCTGCGCCGTGAGCAGCTGCGACGCTTTGATCGTCGAGAATCTCGCGTCGATTGAAAAACCCGGGGGAACAGGGTCTACGAGCAACCCCCTGCGTCTATGCTCTAATTAGACGTAGCGCCGGGGCGGAATCCTCGTCGCGTAAATTGCTTATTGTTCCTTGTATCCGTCAGTCGATCGTGGTAACGATTTTTTGGTAGACTGATGTCTCATCAGGACATTGCATGATGGAGGAATGACGATACCGTTAGAGGTGGCAACCTTTCTTCACCTCCTACGAGAATTGCGAAGTGTAAAAGACAATATTAAATGTAAATTAATTAACCCCTTGGCAGCTGTGGAACGTTATTGACAATAATCGCAGCGAAGCTTCGATCAAACGTGAATTCTAATTCAAAAATCCATTAGTCATACATTATATAAATGTAAATCAGTCGAATTTAGTTCAGCTCGGTGAACCAAACTGACGCGAAACTCTGTCGCAGCCAAAGGGTCAAGGCGAGGTCGAGTAATTTCAGTTAAACTAGGAAGCTTCGGATTTAAGATGAAAGAAACGCGGGCTGCCGACCCCTGGTCTAAGGGATGAAGAACAAAATGAAGATACCTGTCGTCGTTTGGTCCTTGAAGAGGGTTATTCCCCGCGAAACCCATCATGTTCACGTGATCCTTCACTATCATAATGTCGCCGACCTTGTACGTGGGATTCAGACCTCCCGCCGCGTTTGTCGCAATCAGATGGGTCACGCCCACCAGCTTCATAACTCTGACCGGCATCGCGCACTGCGGGCAGAAAGCAGACCGGCCACGGTGAACGCACACGGCATAGTCACGATAAAAACTTCATACCGTCACGAGCGGCCGATATCCGTCGCTTTAATTACGTTAATGAATGGAATCGATAAAGCCCACGTAAATGGAAAAGAAATTACACGCGATCGACGCTCCGTCTTCGTTCAACGAGCGTCCCGTTTTTCGTTCCGCCGTCGGCGAGCTCACCTTCCACAACGGGTAACCCTCGTAGTAATGAAATCTGCCCTGCATGCACATCACCGGTACACCCTGTAGATGGCCGAACACCATCTGGCCTTTGTGCCCCTTCACTGTGGAGACTGGGAAATGTGGGATGTCTTCGTAAGGGAAGCACTGTTTGTTCTCGAGGGAGTCCGCCAGCGAACCTGGACACAACTCGTTTTGCTCATTTGTTCCTGTTTGGGAATAGACAAAAGGCATGACTGGGGGAACGAGGCTACGAATAAGATACTCTGAACGCGAGCCAATGTGTTCTTAGAATCAGGACCTAGGACTACGGTAGACTATACAGCCGCAAATCACTAACCCAATCCAGAGCCACAAATAATGCCGATCTTCGGCTTGATCTTGATGCGATCCAGAAGGAACTGGGCCGACTCTTGCAGCGCCTCGAACGTGTACCTGGAAAGAAGAGATCATCGTGACGTATGGGAAATTCACATCCATCTTCGTCCGTTTCCACGTTTTATTAGACCTATTCGCAAGCGTGTCGTCGCCATGAATTTCGGTGGTCCGCGTCGCGATTCCCGGAGGAATTACTATCCGGCGTTTGTCCGATAGCGAGCTACCTGGAACCTTGATCGACGATTTCGGCCTTCGAGCGTCGCAAATTCCGTCGGATTGGGCGCAGCGGAGAAGATAGAAAGCAATGATTCCCGCGGGATCGCGGGCGCCGCTCGTAAAAGACAAGATAATGGGGGCACAATCGTGACCGTTTGTTTCTGGCGAAATGAACGAGTGTCCCGGCACGATTTTCCAGCGCGGAGCGGCCGCGGAACGGGCGCAGTTACCTGTTAAACCGTTAACAGGCTCGGCCGGCGACGGATTTAAGCTGAATGCAGGCTTTCGGAGGTATTACTAATCACGTATTGGAACACGTCGAGCGCGCGACGTGTTTATACGGGCATCCCGCGAGCAACTCATCTACCGGGCGCGCATTCACGCGTGCACGGGCAAATGCAGAATGCAGCTCGCCCCGTGAACCGGTTCTACGCGCAGATGCACACGCAGAATTTCCGTGCATCCGAGCGCATAAGCTGGCCCCGGGCACGCGTGACGCGATCGAAAATTACTCGCGATTCTATACAAATTTCAAATCATCCAGCTATTCCTGCCCCCGCGTCGCGTCGCGTCGCGTCGTTGCCCTTCGGGATTGTTATCGTGCCGGTGCAACGTCAATTTAACGGCGAATCCGGTATCGCGGTCTTAATAATCCTAATGCGAGACGCAGTTGTAGCGTAATTTGATCTCGCAGTCGCGATGTAAGGAAGTCTTTGTCCGCGCGTGCTCGGAGAGATACTGGAAACCGATTGAAGCGTTCCAGTGAAAGTGCGCGCGAGACTTACTTACGCGCGGAGCAATTAGAGCCCCATAGCTGAAGGGAACAGCGGCTAGATTCGATGAGCGGGAAGTGGTTTAAGAAATTCTAATCTGACGGGAGCCCAGGGATACAGCCGTTCCACCGCTCGAGGACTATTAACATAGTCAAACTTCGGAATGCCTTTGCAACTGCATAGCGGCCGGATCAAAGGCGCGAGGCTCGCGCTGCGAGCTGTTGCAGTCCGCTTTTGGAAACAGGAGACCCGAGGTGAACCGAAGCTGCAACGGGGCTGCCTACTTCAATCACCGCAGCTCCATTTGATAGCGGTCGAAACAGGGCGGAAGATGCTCCAATTAGGTCTCTTCGTTCAAGGGGCAGGGAAATTATTGCGTCGGGAAGACGGGATGCCTACGCGCGTTTCGAGGGAATCGGTGAACAGAGACGGCTCCCGAGCTGTCTCGTTTCTCGATCGGATCCGGGGCCCGATGGTTACGGTGACGGGCGGAAATCACCGTGATAATCGGAATGCATACGCGTCACCGTAAGGGACATCGAATAATGGCGCGCGTCGAACGCGCTTGAATATGCATCCGCGCCGCCAATAGAGGCCAGAACCGGGGAACCGGCCGCCATTCAGCCGCGAATCTGAGAATCGCTTCGCAGTTTCGACGGCGCGTCTCGTGGAAAAGCTTTGATATAGCCGCGGGTATGCCAAACGTCATTAGACCGACCGCATTCGCGGATGCTCCATCGTAAAACGGGATTGTACGGTCCCCGTTATGAATGGCAAATGTGAGGTCGGCGATTATTATAACGACGTGAATGCGCGCGACGCCCCGGGGCATCCGCGAGGATTCAATGACGCCTCCGCGATCCTGGCCACAATATCGGTTCCTCTAATCCCGGATACGGGATGTACGCCCTGCCGGGAACGCTCCCCGGCTGTCCATACCTTCGCGAATTTAATCGCGTCCCGGTGTTCTGCGTCACGCTTCGCCTCACGATTTACAGATACCATCGACCGTACGGGGGTTGAGCCTGTCTGTACGGGGTTGTTCCGAAAAGGGGCCTCGTTGCTCACTGTCTTGTTATCTTTCTCGGCCTTTCTCGTACCACCCTGCTACTGGATGAGTTAACCCTTGAATTTTGATATTTGCAGTCGTGAACAAATGATTTAATTACTAAGCAGTCAGAGATCGGTAATTTCCTCGTACCACCCTGCTACTGGATGAGTTAACCCTTGAATTTTGATATTTGCTGTCGTAGACAAATGATTTTGATTACTAAGACAGTCAGAGATCGGTAATTTCCTCTTCTATTTAATGGATATATAATTTAGCTTCGTCTGCTGAAGGTTTTGTATATTTCAGAGAATCTTCGCTGAAGAATCAAACCGATTTCCTTCGTTCAATTATTGAAAGGACATTCGATTGTTAGGTAGTTCTAGCGGCAGTAATCTAGAGATCTTTTTGTAACCTCGACAGTCTCCGTCTGAGATATCCTTGGATTTTTACTATTCCTTGACGATATACCGACGACATCTTCATAAAAGAAAGCAACGAGGTTCCATCGGCACGATCGAGGAGACCGAGCGGATTACCATGCGTTGCCAAGTCTGAGAATTGCTTCTTCGAGGGGGTTGATTATTCGACCCACATCCTTCTCTCGTTTCGTTCAAACGCGGACGTTCCTCTTGGAAAGAGTGGAACGTTGTTCCAGGAGCCACGTTCAACTCCGGTCGGTGAAGTATCGCTGCTTTCAGGAACGCGTCCCATTTTCTCATCGCACGTTTCATGAAGTGGATAAGAGCGGCGGCGACGGCGGCGGCGGCGGAAAGTCTCCGGGATAGGGGAATATCGAGCGCGGCCGTTCGAAGCGAAAGTTCCCGGGTTATAGCGGAAAAAGTTTAATGCCACTCGGATTTCTATGCGCCGATTCGAGCGCGAACAGAGGGGGCGGGAAATGGCGGACACGAGGGGAAAGCGGAAGAGCCCGGGCGGAACGCGCGAGGTAAATATTAAATGTATCGGCTAGAAAATTCATTCGACGCCGGCCGAAAGTTAAAGGACCGGCGGAGAGGAACGTGAAGGGAGCGAAAGGATTAACGCTCGACTAAGTCGGTTGATTCCACTGTCGTTTCTGCGCGCGCAGTCGAAAGCGAGCGTCGATCGGTCGCGATTAATGGAGCCTCCGATAAAATTGATACGACCTTCGACTGAACATTAACGGCCGCGCAACGCGATGCCGCGACGTCGACGTCGTCGCCGAGAAATCGATGCGGCCTGCGACGCGCATCGCTCATCCGGCCAAATAAAATTCCAACGGTCGCAGCATCGCATCGCCGGCCAGCGGCCAGCAGCGGCGGCGTGATGTAACGGATTACGAAACACCGAAGAAATTCATCGGCACGCGAGATAAATCTGCGATCAACACGGTCAACCAGCCTTCTCCCATCCTCCTTTCTCCCGGCCGCTTCTACGCGTTGTTTGCCGGAGCGTCTACGCCGTCGCGCCATCGCGCGTAATTCTTGTTTGTGTTTTGCCGCGGCTTTCCCCCCGGCCCCGAGGTCCGTGTTTGCTCGATTAAATAAACAAAATCAATGTACGAACGCCCGCAACTTCTAATTAGATGTTACGCGACGCGCGCGTGTCCACGACGTGTCCGCGACACGACGGAACCTGCGGACAGAGTTCTGCCCCTTCCAACGCGATTCTCGCTTGTCTAATCTGCGCATTTCTGTGCGGGAAAATTAATGAAAACTGATATCGAATTATTCGACAGAGTTATCGTCCTTCGCGACCACGTCTCGCCGAGATTATCGATTCCTATCTTTCTCGAGTTTGACTGGTCGATTAACGTTTCGTCGATTGCGGCGCAATTTGATTTAATTAAATCGACGACCCGGTTCGACGCTCGAAAAACCCGGTGAATATAACATCTCCGGCGGTGTCTTCAAACTGGCCAGAATTGCTTCTCGGAAGCAATTTACGGCCACCGGCGCGTCCGAGCTCCCCGAATCTCCGAAGGATCGTTTACAACAATCGAGCTCGATCGCGGAAATAATGAAAAATTCGACGAGCAGCTCGCACGGCGAACTGCGGAGATGTTCCCATTGAAACCGGGTACTTACGCGGGACTTACGGATAGGTAAATATCGTCGGCGGCGAGATAACTCGATAGCGGTCCATTAACTTTCGCAATTAGCCCGGGCAACTCGATATAGAAGCGGGGCAATATCGCGCGGATCCGTTGCGCCCAGTGGTCCACGGGTAGTCCGGGGCAATTACTTGCGTTTGGAAATTTCATACACACTCCGCGGAGTGCGTGCGCGCGCTGTAGAGCGGCGTTTCTGCCGTTTCTGCCGTTGTTTGCCGGTCGGAAGTTCGGTAACGGTTGTTTCAAGTGGCCCGGGCCCGGCGAGCAACAAACTTTTTTCACGCTAATGAGGACGCGGGGAAGCAATGAACTGTAACCGCATTTACAATTCCTCGAGCTTCGCTCCGGCCCTCTCCTCGAGTGCATTGTGCTCGCCGCAATGCGAAAACTATAAACGTGCAACCGCGATACCTGGTACCGTACGTTGCACCGAACCTGGCACTCACGCGTAAGTGGTCGGGTTCGAAAGCGCGCGCCTTGCCCACGGGAATTTTCGATTCCGCCGTGTGATTCGCCGAGACGCTCGCGCACACTAACCGGGTCACGCGACAACGAGCGTTTCCGGGCTCGCGATTGGACTTTTCGGAGCGACTGTTTCTCCCGTATGACGTCACGAGTGCCAGCTTCGCTGCAACGAACGGTATCTTGAACCTTGAACGAGATTCCAAAATAAAATATACTTTCTTCTCCTATTAACCATTCCTCTCTCAAATACATTCTCTTCCCGAACGGATTCCAGCGAATCGCAGCTCGTTCGTCGCGATTGTAACAGCGTCCACCGAGGTCCTTGGGATACAGGAAACGAGTATCAGCACGGTATCGCGCGAGAATCGTTCAAACGCTTCGCGGCGCGCGCGCGTGTCTGTCCAGCGTAGTTTCCAGCGAACACTCTCGATTTCGGTAGTTCTCGTGGCGAGCTACTTACGTGCTGTGCCGTAGGTGTTTGACGTTCGTGTGCAGGAACTCATTATCCGTGGGTCGCTTGAGCGGCTGGTAATGATCGCGGCCGTTGACGATGTCGCCTTCGGTGAACGGCATCGTCGCTGTCGCTTAAAATCCTCGCGGAGCAGGTGAAGACCGAGCCTGGTCGCTGTCACAGTATCGAACCCGCGGTCAACGGGCAGCGTAGGAAGAAAGGCGCGACGTCGAAGGAGGGAAGCGCAGTCACGGTCAAAGTGCGAGAGAGGGAAGAACGATGAACGTTACGATACTCCGTGAGCTGATCGCCGCCGATCGCACCGAAACTCTACGGGCTAGTGGCTGCTGTTTTATACGGAAACTCGACTTCGTTGAAAAAACTCGTGCGGCAACGAACTGGCCAATCGTTTCGCACGCACAACGCGGCCTCCCTCCAGTCGACGCGGAGGTTGGGACGGTCAGAAAGTCGCTGGGAGGTAGGGGCACGCAATGATAACCTATTACGACCTAGATGCTCCAATTGCCACCAGTGTTCGTCCGTCGTTATTTGTCTCATGCGATCATTCGTTGCTCCGCCGGCTCGAAACCGGCCGAATCACCGGATATGATTCATCCGCGGCCTCACCGACCGATCTACCGGTCCCTTTACTTCGCCGCGGCCCGGCACGATCGGAATGTTCACGCGGAACTCGTAAACCTTGCCCGACTAATCGCCGGCTCTGTTCCGCTCGCTTTCCCTGCTCGCCTCGGTTTTTCCCCTAATAACGTTCTCCGCGAGAGAAACAGATCTTTCGGCCGAGATTAGATATCCCGCGGTCGCCGCCTTCCTCTCATCTCGTTCCGCTGTAATTTCGACCTGTTGCTGCCTCGCGAAAAGTCCGAGCTCTGTCGTTGTCCGACACCGACGCCGTTTACGAATCCGATCGAAACAGCTTCGCTGTCGTTCCCTGTACTCGAGCAGACGTAGCAGCGAGAGTTGCTTCGTTCCGGATGAAAGAAGCCACTAATCGATAGTTCGATCTAGTCGCTTCTAAAGGTTATTCCAATCTTCAAGATTACCTCGACGAACGCGGAAGCTCGCGGACGTCGGGATCGATCTTACCAGTCACAATGAGCCCGCAGACAGTGGAACACTGTCAAAACCACGCCGCGTCCGCGGGTTCAAGCGCCGCTGAGGGCAACAGCGTCGGTTCCACGCGAAGAACGGGGAAAGAGACAGATGCCGCTGTCACTCAGAATCGTGTGACCACAGTGTCGCCGACCCACATCTCAAATTTATCCGAATATCAATCACGAGCCGCTCGTGTTTCCCGGTCGTGCGCCTCGTATCGGGAAATCCCGGGGCAGATTTACGTCCCGGCGATGTCACGTGCACCAATTTGCGAGGATACGAATTTCGGCCGGCTCCTGTCCCCGCCTCCCCCCTCCGGCCCCCTTCCCTATGCTCCTTGTAATGAGTTCGTTACGGCCAATTAGCCGGGGACCGCCTTGAATCGCCGGAAATTTAACAGCCCTTCCACTCGACGATTGATATTACCGTTCTCACTTTCGACCGGCCGGATCGGCAGCGGTGAGTCTGATTTCGTCGTTACAACGGCACTCGGCGTCGACGGGGGTCGCCGGGACTGTTGCGTTGTGAATAAAGGCTCGCGAAAACGGAAGACGGAGAGGAAGATCGATCGTTTCGCCGTTAATCCCTCCTCGGAATTGTTACATCGAAGTTTGACGCATGGACGTCCGTGTTTATCTTAATGACGCCGCGGTTTAATTGAAACAAGCGATTAACGCGATTACATCTGACGCTGTTATCGGGACGGGAAATTAGCCGGACCGTTCGAGTAGAATGAAAACCTTAACGAGGTAAACAATTCATTGAATCCGGCCGCTTATCGGCGATCGTTGGCCACCAGCGGACTGGCCAACAGTCACAGGACAATTCCGTGCTCGTTCGCCATTGAACTCTTTGTGCGCGGCTTCGACTCGCTTCTGACTCGCCGATGAGTAACGGCCTTTCGGGTTGGCCGGGACAACGGGAGCCCGATTCCTTCGAGCTGATTAATCAGACGCCATTAGCGATCGACGATACAGATCCCGCGATAAAAATTCGCTGGAGGTTCTCGAGGTCTCCGTTTTCCCATCGATCTCCCGCGCGTTATCGCGCAGGTGCAACGATAACGGAAGCCTCCTCGATGATTTTTCTCCGAACTATCCGTTTCTGTTCTCCTTCCCCTTTTTTCCCCCCGGCCGCCGCGAAATATACATTTGTTGTTGTCGGCTGTCGGGCGACGAATGGCCGGCAATCGGCGTACATTTTCCGCGGCCGCTTTTCCCCGGGAAAAGACGGATATCGGAGGAGAAAAATGGGGTGGCTGAAAACAGTGCTTCTTCGCCGTAACTTCCGCTAAGCGCAACCCTTATTTACTACCCGCGACGGTGGTCGCTCGATCGAGATCGTTAATACCATCGTCGCGAGGATTCTTCGGAGAATGTTTACGAGGAACACGGTTAGAGGAACAACAACCGTTACGTACGAAAACAAAGTCAGTTGTTGCTCCCGTATCTTTTGCTATTGTCGACAAATATTATTGCCGCATGATAAGCGGTTTATTTTCGTAACGAACGTACGTTGCGTTCGATTAAATAAAATTTCAGCGAGGATTACGAGATAACTCGAACGTAATCGGGAATTACTGACACGAACCTTCGGCCGCGTTATCGAGCGAGATCAAGCTGTGCAAAGATCAACGAGATCTAATCGACGGGAGACTCGTCCGCGCTGGAATGCGCCATTAACCCTTGACGTAACAATCGACGAACGATACGTCCGAGGAATCTTGTTTTCCCTCTTCTTTACCCCTTGTTCTCCTGGCTGAACGTTCCAAGTTATTCCCCGTAAACGATTCAGAGATAAAAAGACACGAATGCACTGATGCCTTCGCTATATTCTGTTGGGATCCGGATGAATGACGCGAAGTCCGATTCGTTGATAATAATTATATTTCGGCGTTTCAACGTATTCTCCAGATATAACGCATCGAACGACGCGGAAACAGACAATTTCGGACAGACCGTGACCCTTGGTACCTGATGACTCGTTATAGATGACTAGTCCTGGATGAGACATTTGTGTATTTTATCTAGGATTTTCGACTTGTGAAGAACATGCTAAGATATTTTGGATTCGGCGGGTCTAGGACGCTTATCTATGGTGCGCCATTAGGTTGGTCATCCAACAATTCCAAAGCAGACATGGAAAATAGAATCTAATCGCAGGTTTGCAACCTGTTACACCCAGTGTTTCGATAGAAATGGAAAACACGTAGAGTTTAATCCAGACCTAACCAAGACCAGTGAATCTTACATAACTGACGAAGCGAGACGTATGAAGTAACCTCAGATTTACCGAATAAACTTCCCCTCCTCCCTCGGGTACGTCCTGAGCGAGCGTACTCGAACTTTCCGAGAGATAAAGCATCGAACGTTAGGGTCCAGCGAAAGAAGAAGGCCGCCACCGTAAAGCGACCTCGACAGTTCCGTTCGTTCCCGGCGTTTGACACGCTAATGCGACCCCCGCCGAAGGTAGATCCGAAGCGACGCGTCGCGAATGAAAAAACAACAGCGGGAAAGGCACGAAATCCAGCTGGAACTTGCAAATTATGGTTCTCCCGGGCGCGAGGGTGAAACGAGTCCGGTCAAGGGGTGAACTGGAACAGACTGTAAATTCAGCTTTCGCCCGGTCCACTCCGACGAGGCAGGCCCGGGCTGCTTTGCGATGCAACGAGTAATGCATAATTTCGCTGATCGCCTACAAAGAACTGGCGACCCTTTGCTCGTAAACAAATTTCGGCGGCGAACGATGCTGCGGGACAGATTCTCGGCGTCACCAAACTTTCCTAATTGAAACTTTATACAGTTCCCGGCGCCGGGGGAAAAAAAGGGAACGAGGCACGGAGCGGGATCGGGCGGGCGGGAAGGGGTGAAAGGGTAGCCGGAACTTTCCAAATGGTATTCAACGGGGAATCGGTCGGACGGGAGCGTCGCCGGCGGCGTGTCGCGGTCGTGGCGTCCGTCAGAAGTTAATTCGCTCGTCGGCGATACGGTGGACGGGCTTTCTTGGGGGAAAAAATCTCCGATTATCTGTCGGAATGATGTAATTTCGACGGGACATGTCCACGCGGAGTGTCGTTACGCGAGAACGTTCGAGAAACGGCCGGTCGGTCAATAATGGTCGCCGATGCAACGACTTGCACAAGAGGCGCGAAGACGCGCGAACGCTGTTATCTCGCCTCACCACTGACGAAACTTGATTACAAACAAGCGGCCCGTTCCTCGCTCGCGCGCAGTAACGGCGTAATTGTGTAATTCAGCCACAATGCTGCGAATCCGCAGGCTGTTTCAGAAATAGAAGCCGCACGGCGCGAAGGAACGAACAAGGAGCGCGGGAGGAATTCATTTTTCGTCGAGATAACATTCCAAACGCGATAGAGGCCATATGTCTGCGTAACCTGTTCATTCCTACGAGCACTATTCGGTGACTTTGAATGATGACATTCGTCCCGCGATTAAGATAGCCTTAGAGAGTACTCCGTGGGAAAACAAATCGTGCGACTCGATCTCGCGCATTCCGATCGAAGTGTTTTCGTTGCTCGCTAACGAGGGCAATTAGAGTGACCGCCAGTTATAAAGTTGCCGACCCGTTAATACGGCTTCTTCGTTGTTGTTCTAATCGCGACATTGATAATTGCAATCAGCATGACATTACGAAATATGAATTTATTCCGACCCTCGCGACCGATCCGCTGGGGTTCTCCCGGCCGCCCGTTTATCTGCAATAAATTATTGCCGGAGAAAATTTAGGTACGTAATCGCGTGTAAACATTACGCTCGCTCCTCCCGTTCGCGGAATAATTGCGCTCGCTCGCTGCGAAAATCGCTTCGGTGGCTCCGCGATTTACACTCGGCGAAATGAAATTCTGCGCGTCGCCGGTGCACGCGAAATTGTTGTCCGCGCTTCCGAGCAACAGCGGAAAAACGTTCTCTCGAGTTGAATCGGTTGTATCGTGTCTCGTCAAATAGGGTTATACGTGTGACGCCTTGCGCACGCTGCGAACGTTCGATAAGAATTGTTGCATTCACGGTACAGAGGTTGCGAATGACTCCGGCTTAGCTTGAGCAATAAGAATCTGGCGAGAAACAAAGGAACGAGAGAGAGATATCCTTGAGCGGATCGCGTCTGTTTCATTCACAGCTTCATTCATTTGCAGCATGATTCATAGGGAAAAAACTTCGAAGTGAGATTTCTGTGAAATGTGTTGTTGCCATTGATTGCATTGTGTATTGTCGCCCCTGCGAGCTGGCAACCAGTCGTGCTTGCTTGTTTTGCGGATTGTCAAATATTTCTCTTTTTGGGGCGAGTTATAAATATATGGTACTTTTTCTTTTTATTATTGTGGAGAGAGAATGTAAAGTGTAATTAAATTATTTTTAATGGTTTTTGTTACCGTGTGAACATTATATTGCATGGTAAGCTTTCGTGGAATTTATGTGCAATTTACTTGGTATGGGAGTGTTTTAGATGTCACTACCACCCTTGTCTAATATGGGCATTTTCGTGGGCATTTAATAATTAAACTATTTAGCTATGATAGTGAATTATAAGTTTGACGTGATCTAATGGAATGTGTTGGTAAATTGTGAAATGTCTTAATTAATTGTAACTGTTTTGGTAATTTACTGGATTGTACAGGCAGCGTCATCTTCAGACGTTATCGTACACTGTGAAGAGTTACAACACATATTTATATGCATAATTGTGTTTATTTGTACTGTGTTGGTAAGGTTGTAAGTGACTGGGGAATGATGGGATGTGACAAAAATTTAGATTGAATTTCCCATCTATTCTATCCTTCGTTGATGGTATCGCTGTGACAGTGAAACATAAATAATACTGTTTTGTGAAACATTATTCTGTAATTATATGTACTGTGTGCTTATATGAATTCGAAGTTGACACACAATGTTTAAAGAATGTAGAACAGTATTCATAACATTGCAATTTTAGGACTGTTAATAGATTTATGCACAACAGCATACGATTTTACAGAGTACAGGTACAACAGATTTTTATTAAAACTATGTACAGTAAGAGAATGTATATTTATGTGATTTACATTAGTTTCTAGTAACGGTGTAAAAATTTTTATTTCAGGGATTCATTACATACAGTAGTTGTAAACAATACGACCAAACATGTCAACTTTAGAAGATAAGATTCTGGGAGAAAAGTTGCAATATTATTGTAGTTCCAGTGAAGATGAAGGAAATGATTCGAGTGATTCCGAGAAAGAATCAGATAATGAAAAGTATCACCCAACAATCACAGAGTCTGTGGAACCATCATTCTCAGAATGGGATGGAACTTCTAGTAATACAGGACCAAAGGGTGTTTTAAAAGTAAAACATTATATTTAATAAGTTTCATTATTTCATGTAATGTATTATTTTAATGCATTGTATTGCATTGCAAGGATTGGCAACGATATAAACAATTAGAAGCTGAAAAGAGACAAGAACAAGAGAAAGAAAGACTGCAATTAATGAAGAAACTAAGTTTGACTTGCCGGAGTTCTTTAGATGAAGATAAGGAAAAGGTTCTGCAGAATGATCCTGATCTTGCTGAATTATTAGCTGATGAATTTCTTTTGGAATATCAGAGACAAAGAATGAGAGAGATGCTTGCACAAGCAGAGAAGCTTCGTTTTGGTAGAGTTATTAATTTAGAAACAGCAGATCAATTTCTAGAAGCAGTTGATGGTGAAAACAAGTCTGTAACTGTTGTTTTGCATATTTATGAAAATAATGTCTCAGGCTGTGAAGCTATGAATGGATGTTTAATATCTGTTGCGGAAGATTATCCTTTTGTAAAGTTTTGTAAAATATTAGGTTTGTAATTTATATACTTTTTTATGCTTGTGTCATACTAGATTATTGTGATATTTATTTATTAATTCCCATTATAGGATCTGCAGCTGGTCTTAGTAAACATTTTAAAAGAGAGGGTGTCCCAGCTTTGTTAGTTTATAAAGCAGGTCAGGTAATAGGAAATTTTATTCATGTAACAGACTACTTAGGAGAAGATTTTTATGCATCCGATGTTGAAACCTTTTTAATAGAACATGGCATGCTGACTGACAAAAACTGTGTACCTGCCATTATCTCAAAAAACGAGGATACATTATCAGATAGTGAATAAATAAAATGGATAAATCTTTTCTATAATTTTTACTATTATCTTCCTAGTACATTTTATATTAATTCATTATACAAAGTATTAATACACTCATTTATCATATTTCTTATATCTATCAGTATTCGATAACAACAATAAATAATGATATACTTTAAAATAATATAATTTTGTTCCTAAAAAAGAATTAACTTTATAATCAAACAAAGAATATAAGCTTATAATTTTTCTAATATTTGTCTCTTCTTCTCAATAGCTTTACAGAACTGTAAGTAAGTTTTTAAAATATTACTATATTCTGTATTTTGCAAATTTTCATATTGTTTCTTTAAATTTTCCTTTTCCTCGATCTTATTCATTGTTGCAAATAATTTTTCATCTATGATTGCATTTAATATTTTGTAAGCATCAATAGTCTCTGGAATCTCCTTATACATTCTCATGATGCAGGATAATTTTGTAATTTTTGCTTGTACTTCTGCAACTTCAGCTTGTAGCAACATGTATTCTGCTTTTTCGAAATAAATACGATTGACATCTTTATACTTAAGACTGTTCCAATTATTAAATAGAATTCGACATTTATCAATATCACTTGTATATTGCTCACATAATTCTTCAATCTTATCTTTCCATTGCAACATTTCTACTTCATGAGGTTTAAACAATTTTTTATGCATATTACAATCATTTGACCTCATTACTTCTTTCATGTTACCTCCAAAACTTTCATAACTGAAATGTTATAAAATTAACATTGATTTATATTCCATAAAGCTCATATAATAAGTAAAATAATTTCAAATATACTGAACCTCAAAATAAAATCATGTATTTTCTCCCTTAATAATGCTTCTACATAACATTTAACATCCAACTTTTCTTCATGAGTGAGATCATATTCTGGCAAATCAGTAATTCCCAAGACTGTTAACTTTTCTTGCTTCTTTTTAGACCTGGATGGTAAATGCATGTATTTGTCAACTTCATGCATCAAAAGTAACCCTTTCAATTTAGAAACAACATTTTTGGATAATGTTTCTTTTGTATTCATGGTGGCATCCTGTATACATTTTAAAATCATTTTACTTTTTATATGGTCACCAATGCTTTCTTCACATAAGGTCAAACGTTTTGCAGCCTTCTGAAGATGATTAGATTCTTGATTCTGGTTTGTGACAGCTTTGCTTGCATTATGTATCAGGCTATGTTGTTGTACTGATGAATTTTGCAGCGAATCTAATCTGCCCATTATTCGACTACAATTCACACGAGAAATTCGTGATATACTACTAATATCTAAAAATATAGTACATTAATAATATTTTAAACATTACAGAACCATTACCTTGAAATCTATCTGCTACAACTCAAGCCATTAATTGTTAATAATTGAATGATTACATACCCGATATTTGACTTAAATCACTAAAACTCATGTTACTAATTTGTAATACAATTTGTTACTGTAAAGGTAAATATTCATAACATTTATGCTGGGAAATCTTTCAAATTCAAACGGTTATAAAAGTCATCAACCCGAGAGAAGTACCAACATACAAAATTCCCTATAATACAAATTCATAAAATAAATGATCCAAATGAAATAAAATAGTATCTATATATATTTTTAAGAGCTAGTGGTATAATAAACAATATTTTAATGTAACTAATTGTCATATGATTGTAACTTTATAATAAAAGTTTTGTTTTCATATATAATTTTCTTGCAAACTGATTGGACGATAAATGTTCTTGGTGTAACACATACGCATACATACACACAATAAATGCAGCGTTAAAATGTGTTTAAAAAATAAAGGAAAAGGAAAAGATAAAATTAATATATTCAGGTTTTTGTATGCTGATTTCTACATTGAACATATGTAAGTGCGTAAGAATTATATGAATTTAATAAAAATATAATGATATTAATAAAGCTTGGGGGAGGTAAAAACCACTCGTAGCCACCTAACGGTGCAACAATGAAGCCTGGCAATAATCGGTGCATAGGAAGTGCACATGGACTTCAGTGCTTCATAGTAATCGGCGGCATTTGTTGGGATTTACATTTACGTATTTAGCCTGAAAAATGGCGGCCAATATCAATGGTGTGTTTAGTGAAAGTTTGCAAAATGCAATATTACAAAGTAAAGTGCTTATCGTGGGCGCTGGTGGAATCGGATGCGAAATACTAAAAAATCTTGTTATGACAGGATTTAACGACATTGAAATTGTAAGCATGGTCAAAAGCCGATAAGCTGTAGCGTTGTTTTAACCTATATATTTTTCCCTCCTTTACTTGAATACGTTGATATCTAAAGTCTCATACCGGTATTTGCATTATCTTCATTTATTTACATAACATTACAAACTTATGATATACAACACTACATACTATATGACTGCTATTATTATTTTATCGATTATTTATTATACGTTTGAATAATGAATAAACACGTTGTTTTTAGATCGATTTAGACACAATTGATGTTAGTAATTTAAATAGGCAGTTCTTATTTCAAAAAAAGCATGTAGGAAAATCAAAAGCATATGTTGCAAAGGAGACTGCACAAACATTTAATCCTGATGCCAAAATAGTACATTATCATGACAGTATTACATCGTAAGTATCTTTATATGTATTTTTATTTTTATAATATTAATGTTTTTATAATTATCTGTATTCTTTTATCTCTACAGTCCCGATTACGGTATATCATTTTTTAAAACATTTAAGTTGGTTATGAATGCACTTGATAATCGAGCAGCCAGAAACCATGTGAATAGAATGTGTTTAGCAGCAGATGTACCTTTAATAGAATCTGGCACTGCTGGTTACGAAGGGCAAGTAGAACTTATAAAAAAAGGACTTAGTCAATGTTATGAATGTACACCAAAAGCTGCACAAAAAACTTATCCTGGCTGTACAATCCGTAATACTCCCAGTGAGCCTATTCATTGTATAGTTTGGGCTAAGCACTTATTCAAGTAGGTTTTTGAATTAGTATTTCTCTCAAAAATATATAAAACAATGTGAAAATGCATACTTAAATTTTTTACAGTCAATTATTTGGCGAAGAAGATCCCGATCAAGATGTTTCTCCAGACACTGCTGACCCAGAAGCAGCGGGTGATGATAACATGCATATAATACTTATAAAGTAAAAATACATTCATTTAATGTACAAATTTTTTACTACAGACTCAGCAGGCGAAGGTGCTTTAAATTCAGAGTCAAATGAAAAGGGAAATGTCGATAGAGTATCAACAAGAGCTTGGGCACAGTCTAGTAATTATGATCCAGAAAAGTTATTCACAAAATTATTTCATGACGATATAAAATATTTACTTAGTATGGATAATCTGTGGAAGAAAAGAAGACCACCTACTCCTTTGAATTGGAAAGAACTACCAGATGGAGGTCAGTTAAATAGGTTTCACATGTTTAATTTAATATTAATTAATAGATTTACATTGTAATATTTTGTGACACAGTACCAGGATGTAGCAAAGAAATAAATGAACCTGGATTAAAAGATCAACAACGTTGGAGTATATCTAAATGTGGAGTCATATTTGCTGAAGCAATTAAAAACTTGAGCAAAACCTTAGCAGTTTCTCAAGAAAAATCACCTAATAATCATCTTGTTTGGGACAAAGATGATCAAAGTTCAATGAACTTTGTTGCAGCTTGTGCCAATATAAGAGCTTACATTTTTGGTATACCTCAAAAGACAAGATTTGATATAAAATGTGAGTAACTAATTATTTGTCAGCTTTTGGAAAGTAAGAATTTAATAACAATGTATTCTGTGTTTCTTTAGCAATGGCAGGGAATATAATTCCAGCAATTGCAACTACAAACGCAATTGTAGGTGGCTTAGTTGTTCTTCATGCATTTCGTATATTGGAGGATAAATTAAAAGCATGCAGATCTGTATATTTGCGATCTAAAATGAACCATCGCAATCAATTGCTGGTGCCAGAAAAAAATGTTAATCCACCAAATCCCAAATGTTATGTGTGTGCACCAACACCACAAGCTGTGTTGGCAGTTGACACATCTAAAATGACGATTAAAGAGTTAGATGAAGTAGTATTAAAGAATAGATTGAATATGATTGCACCAGATGTTGTGATAGATGGTACTGGTTCTGTTGTGATTAGCAGTGAAGAAGGAGAAACTGAAGGAAATAATAATAAGGTTTTAGAAGAGCTAGGAATTAAAGATGGAACTATTCTTAAGGTTGATGATTTCCAGCAGAATTATTTACTAACTGTAACTGTGGTCTATAGAGAACGACCGAGTGCAAAAAGTGATAATCCCGATTTCCTAATCTTAGCTGATGAAAAAGACCTTAAGCCTAAAGAAGAAAATGATTTGACAAAACCATCTACTTCGAATGGTCAGGTAAGTAGATGTCAGGTTTCTTTGTACGAGTATAGTCAATGTTTACGCTTCAAAAATGTATGCGATTCACAATTTTATTTAGGTGGACCATCAATCCGATGATAACGTAATGATTGTTGAAGCTAATGATGTTTCACCGGATGTAACAAAGAAACGTAAAATTATATTGCCTGACGTGGCTGCATCTTCAAAGAAACGGAAAGTAGAAGTTCATGATGTAGATGATGATATATGTATAATTGAAAATGATATGAATAGCGATGCCAGCGGTGACGCTTCAAAATCAAAGTCTAAACGCAAAGTATCGGAAGATGATGACTGTTTAATTATGCATGACGATAACGTACAATCTGTTATGTAATGAATGAATTAAAACAAAACTGAACCATCGTATTTTAAATGCTAGATTTAAAATCTGCAAAAATGAGAATTAGTATATGAATTTTGTCTAAAACTAAATGTCTATTTGTACAAAATACGAATACGTGTATGAATTCCAGTAACGTTGAGTTGTGAGTTTCTTTGAACTATTCAGTTTCCGTAAAATTTTATAAATACGATCCCTTAATAGGAGAAGCATAATTATTAATGAATCAGAAGGTACGTATGATGACATGCTATGAGAGTGAATGTGTATGTATGATAACGATTTAAACTCATTAATAATTTTCAATGTATTCTGATTTCTATGAGTATTTATGGAAGTACGTAATCTTATGTCAGTAGTATGTCATTTCATAAGTGTACCTATACCTTTTTATAAGAAAGAAATAAATACTTTTTTGGTACTATAAACTAATCATAACATATCATTACTCATATATATATAGCTATACCAATATTTAATATTTAATTCGTTTTATTTGTACAAAATATATACCGATTCAAATTATAATTGTACATTTCAAAGTCAATCTTATATCTTTCGTACAATTTAAAAATTATACCTTGCGTCAAATTTGCGAAATATTTACATGTAGTATCAAAATTAGTATATCCTCCACGCGTTCCTTCCAGTTTTGGTAAATATACCTTATTCGTATCCAGTCCTAGTTTTGAAAAAATATAATTAATTTGTCCGGACGTATAATCGTCTAACTTTAAAACATAATTATATCGTATGTTGCACACGCCACAGTGTGTATAATAACGATTCCAATGAACATCGTCTTGCTCCGAACTTTGAAGTAGCCACAACAAAAATTCTTTAAAAGTTGGTATCAGCTTTAATCTATAGGAAAAAATGAATATATTAAAAATTCCATCAGTCTGATTATAATAAACTTTTATCATACAACACTGTACCTTTTATCACGCGTAAATACTTTTTCTTGAAAATTACCAGTAGTTTTATTGGAACGGAAAAGCGTGGGCCTTGTAAGATGAAAAATTTGTTTAGCATATATCCAAGCTTGTGCTGTATGCTTTGAATTATCTTCTATGCGATCTCTAAACGGTGCAGATATTTTTTAATACAATGAAGACAGATTAAACAGAAATAAACATACCTATACGACGACACAAGCCTTTCAAAGGGATGCCGCACAATTAGAAATTTAAATATTTTCGGGTCTTTCGCGATATGGTGTAGTTCCTTCAAAGATTTTGGCGCTAGAATATCAACTTCCCTATGGGAAATATGCGAAATAAAATATCAATTATACAGAAACAAGAAATTACAATTACCTGTAGTAATTGTGTATAATTCGACGATGTTTCATATCAGAAAACAATTTTGTGAAACTCGTCGAACCAACTTTACGTATCCAACAATATATGGATTTTCTCTCAGAGTTGTACAGAAAATGTCTTCTTATTAATGGAGTTTTTAAATTATATTTCTCGCATGTACTTGAAATTTGTTTCAGTATCGATATACTTTCCTAGTAAAAAAATTATTATTGTCACTATGTACTGTACACTGCATTTAAATTATTTTAATTCGTTTACCTGTAAATTAATTGATTGGCCATTCATTTTATCATATTTTGAAGATTCTATCTCAAAGTTAGTCGGTTTTGTAATTGTTTGTTGCGCAGCTAAGTACTTTTTATCTGACTGATTAATAAAAGAGACTGAATTTGAAAATACCATACAATAAAAACTGTGCTTAGTCTTCAACAAAAGAAAACATATAGCAATGTATAAAATCACACACAATGTGCACTTCATAAATTGCATTCTGAACGACATAATTAAAACTGAATCGAGTACTCTGACAGTCAGACACTTAGATTAAAACTTCCGTCCGTGAATTGTCTGTGGGGGTGGAATGAAAGATAAGATTTATCTTTAACTTCCATTATTTTCCAATTTCTCTTCTTTTTTTATTATTATTAAGGAGGAAAAATTTATTGTAATATAATTACGCTAATTAGGGAGGATATGAAAAAAGAAAACGAAATAAATGTATACACCTTATACTTTACTGCGAAATAGCGTCAAAACATGTAAATCAATGATTTTAGTACATAATCACGGTGTTAGGCTGCTTCTGTAAATAAGTAATAATAATGATTGAATAATTACATACAAATTGTAAATTGTCTGTATTATTGATCATGACAAAAATACTCTCTTTTGAAGTAGACACTTCTTACAAAACGTTCATTACAAAATTTTACGCGTAATAACCAAAAGAATGATTCAGAATCATCTTTATGTCACACTGATTGTTGCAAAAGTAAATCCTTCTACTTACGGCAGTGATCTATATTGAAATGGTACAATATTTTATCAAATTTGATTATGGAAAATTTAAGTGTCAATACAAAAACCAGTATTATCAATACCCACATTGATTCACAATTGAATATTTTTTTTCTTTTTAATATAAAAATGGATGTATCAGATATGAATATAAGGATTACAAAAATATATAAATAATACTTAAGTTGTGTAAGAAACTTAATGGTAAACTACACTGATTCAAACAATTGATCAAATATATAATTGGTTAATTTCGTTTAATTTTGTTTAGAAAGTGTAAAGTATTTAAGTTAATTCTGTATTATATGAATTACTAAAACTACATCTGTATTATAATAAGATATTTTGTGAATACCTTATTAACATTTATTTAATTAAATAAAAATTCAAATACTGTCGGAACATTTGATCGCTTGTTTGTGTCACTGTATATTGAATTGATATAACATATAATTGATTCTTTATTGCTAAATGCAAATAACATAAGAACCGATCAATTGTGAATCATTGTTCAATTCTATAGATAATCTTTTATTTTTCTCTTATTAATTACGTATTTTCTTGTACTACTCCATAATGTTACGTAAAAGAGAAACTAACTATACCATTTTTTTATTTATTATTACACAAATTGAAGCATTTAAATACTTCATAATAAATCGTTTTATTATTAAAACACAATAGTGTTTTCAATTGTTAAAAATTACAATGTCCAAATGTAAATATATATTATTATATATATATATAGATATATTCATACATATATAATAATAAATTTCAAATTAATCTTTTTGAATCACTACTACATCGATTACACCTTCTGATTGATTGAATAAATCTTCCTATTATATAATCGTAAGTATCGTGATTCTTTTGAAAGCCCTTACATGAATTGAGTGTGTGCATGAATTGAGAGATGAAATAAATGGATGAAGATAATGTGAAAAATTTCTTATCTACGATCTCTATATCTATGATGATGATCTCGGGAGGATCGATGATCACTGTGTCGACTGTGTCGACTTGCTGTTCTCCATAAAAATTCGTCTACACTTCTTTCGTAGCTGCGTTTTTCAAGAGCGGAAGCAGCTGCGCTATAATCAGGTGGCAATGGTAGACCATCATAGTATCTAGGTGGTGGTGGTGGTGGAGGCAAAGAATCATAAGGATGAGGTGCAGCATAAGGAGGTAACGGAGGTAATTGATGTTGCATAGTACGCATATAATCTGCGACATATGCTTCTGCTGCCGCAGCTACGCCTAATCCAGGACTACCATATCCTCTGTAACATTAATAATTGTTAAATTTTATGAATAAAATTTTAATTGACAAAATATATTTGAAATTATGTATTGTACTTTGAGTAAGGAGAATCGCCCCGATTACACCAGGATGTATATCGGTGATGGTGATGATCCCTGGATCCTCTATGATCATTACTGGCTAAATGAAATCCTCTAGCTAAAGAAGCTAAACGAGATCGTGAAGTTAAGAAAAGCCTACGTCCCCTACCGCCCCTCGACCGTAAAAATCTGGAACTGTTATTAACTGGTCTGTTGTCTCGGTATGAACGAGATGATTTTGTAACATGCTTCGCTGCTTCCTTAGATTTCCTCAGAATTGGAGTCATTTCAATACCTAAAATATTTATTGTTAAACATGAATAATTGTATTTGCCTTTCATTACAGAAAATTATAAACTTTCGTTTACCTTCATCTTCTGGAAACAATCTGCACAACTCCTCTGCAACTCTGGGCTCAATTTCTTGTCCATCACGTCCAATTTTAACCTGTTTACCATCATTCCATGGATTGTACAAATGTAAGGTTGATGTAAATGGTAATTCTTTCCTACATATCCAGTCAACTTTAAAGACACCACCTAAAGCTTTAGCTGATAATCCAGGAGGTAACACCTAAGGTTTATACATACTTTAAGATAAGAAAACTTTGAAGACTTTGATATTGTCAGTGGTTAATTGCATATACAAACCCAAGAAATGGGTGCTCCATCTCTTCTAGACTCTGTACTAAGTCGTGCAAAGCCAGCAAATTTTCCAGATTCTTTCACAGAAAATACTAAAAGGACATTCCTTGACTCTCTATATGCCTGATTCAAATTTGCTTCATTTTGGGGCAATGTACTCCATACTCCTTTAGCTTTTGATAGAGTGACATTCTCAGCATTATTTGATTTGATGATGAAAAATCTAACAAAAAGAACTTTAAGACATGTTCTTGGCATTTACATTAATGTGCTTATCTAAACATTCACAGGTATAAGAATATAATATTTCATAAGTTTACATAAGATAACATATGTAATGAAAGCAGCCAACCTTGCATCCCTAAATAAGTAATTTAATTTTGTAGCATAATCATAGCTCTTGGCAATTCCTTTACTCTCCTTAGATCTTGCACGTTTCGTTTCAGGACTGGAAGATTTAGAATCTCTTGATCTAGCACGTTTTCCCCTGTTTTTCCGATTACGTTTATTGTCTCCTCGCGAAGATTTAGTTGAAACAGAGCTTATACTAGGCTGACAAGAATCAGAATTGGAACTGCTAGATGAAACTTCACTACGTGTATCGTATGTCTCATCTGCAGCAATTTTTAGTTCGTCTACTATGTCATTTTCTCCACAGCTCAGATTTAAGTTGTCTCCGTCTGTATTATTGTCCATAGTTTCACTTTTTATTTGATGTTCACTTTCACTAATGCTGAATAGTATTTCTTCACTTGTCCCGTCATCCAGGCTTTGTACTGCTGGATTTTTCGGGCTCTCTTGCGCAAAGCCAATGTAGTTCTGGCGCCTTTAAACCTTTTCTGAAACGCAAATATAAAAAAGGGCTTACTAGATGGATATCCAGTCCGCTGTGATACTTGTCCGAGAACAATATCATATTCAAATGGATCTGGTATGTCATACGACAATTATATGGTAGAAAGTAATGCGGTAACATTTTTAGCATACAAGGAGAAAAGTTCAGAAGATTGCACATAAAATCCGATTTAAAGTCACTGTGGTAAAAGATTTAAGAAGTCCATTCGCCGAAAACTTTGACTTTAAGATTGTCCTTATGTTGTTTAATTAGAACATTGGTGAGTTTCATAAAAGTTTCCAATATATATCTACTATGTCAGCAAGTACATCTTGCTTCAGGTAGATATGAATTATACCTAATATTGCAAAGGTTTGTTTCGATAGAAACAATATTTAACAAAGGCAAACAACTTGGTTTCTTTTTATCTTAAATTCACGAATATAAATGTCCTTGTATAAGTGAAAAATAAGTAATATGTTTTAAACTGTAGAGATTTCCCTTTTTTGCAATTGAACGGAGTACACAATTCTTGTTGCCCTATGAAACACAATGCGTGTCATTTTCAAACTTTATATGTAAATGTTTATGATGAAGTTTTTTTGTAAACAGACAGTTTAATCTTGCTAAAATGTGTTTTCTGTGGCCTATTAACGTATGAAGGCGAAGAGTCGTTGATGTTTTTTTTCTGTACATCAGACAAAACAACACATCATACTTGTTTGACGTCTATATGCAGTCTTTGGAAACGCGAAGGCTATGCCTAGGAAAAGTCCGTTGCGAATAGTAATTTTACTAGCAACATCGGCACCACAAAACATACTCGAGACCATCGTTTTCGCCATTGATTTTATTAAAAAAGTTCATGGTTTACAAACATAAGTCTTTGGACGTTATAAGCCCTTTTAAGCAGCTCGTACACACTTACGTGCACACTCGTTCTTCACTTAACACACTTCGCACCTCACGCAAGAATGCTTAATGATTATTCTATGCGTTCAATAACTATTCCTACGACTTCTCCCGCACGAAATACACGAGAGATTCGCACAAGGAATCCCACGTTTCTTCATAAAAGCACAGTAAACGGTACTCTCTTCACGGAAACGCAAACCACAGCGTCCATAGCGTGACGTGTTCATCACGATCGATAGAAACGATCATACCTGAAAACCTCCAAGATAAAACTCAAATGATATAATGCTTTTGAACAATTCCAACCGACTTTGTTCGCAATATTTTCAGACGTATTTGCATAACTATAGAGATTTTCATATATACTATGTCGAAAAATCTGTGCAAACGTCCACACGATACAAGCTCACTTTTGTCCTATACGTTACAAACTTACAATTACCCCCTCCAACAGTTTCTGTTTCTAACAACTAAAAGCGAGAGTGAGAAAAATGATCCAATTACAAGACATGAACATTTTTCAGTCGCACGATACGTAAATCACGCTGCTGTTCTTAAATTTGATCAACATATAACATTTCCTCTGTTCCGCAGAGCTCATAAATCCTCTGGCTACCCGTTTAATTGATTCTAGGGGGACCCAGTTGCCGAGCTTATATCGTGAGAATATTAAAACCCATGGATATCGGGTATTTTGAACAGGAATAAGGGGAGTTTTACATTAATATTAAACAACATTTTATTAATTCTTCTATACCTTTATCCTTATTCTACTGTTAAAGAATCTTTCTAGTTACGCATGTCGTACGTAATACGTTATATAAATAAATAATCTTATCTAGTTTGGAAATTGAGTTTTTTTCATTCGGAATTTCTCGGAATTAAAATCCCTAGCGGTGCGTAAGGGTCGCCATCTTTAAAAAGGAACGACGACCATCTTGGACCATTTTTCACGGGTTGTTGACACGGGTAGATCACAGCCGGTTGTGAAAGTGTTTCGCGATGTAAAATCGTATCGCGATTAACTTGGAAATAAGTAGTGGTTGGTTAGAAAACTAGAATTAAAAGCGATACCGGTCCACGCGTTTCAGATTATCGTGCGGAATACTATTCTACAACGAAAGTGTAAAAAAATTCGCGGTAACGAGCGTCTGTCACGAATATAAGTGATCTTGACAGAGACGAGTACGAAAGCCCTATTATATTAATCCGATATTTTACAAGCAGGGTATTTTTTCGGTTGTGACTCTTTCGTGTGAAAGGAAAATCGAGTTGTCGCGAGAAAGAAGACACGAACGCATTGAAAATACATCTTGCGATAGGAAAATGGTTTCGTGCACATGGTGACACCTCTGGTTAGTTTACGAATCCTATAAACAATTTGACATATTTCGTTTAAAAGTAATTCCGTTTGACCGTGCGGATTGTTATCGGTGCGGGTCGAACGTTGATAATGAAATTACGTGTCGAATGAGAGATCCCTTGATGATAACCGTTATTGCAAATTTTCTTCGAATTCGCCTGGCTAGTACCTTTATAATGGCGAAATGCAACGTACGTTTACCAAAATTTTTGTAAACATTATGTGTCGTCGATAAGCAAATTAAGGTTTTATTATTGCACTATTTTATTTGAATTTTATATACACGCATGTTGCTTGTCCGTAATTTAGTGACACATTTATTCCATAGTAGTCATTTATCTATTACTGTTTATCTTCGGCCCGAAGATAAAGGTATTGTCATAGTAAATATCGTAAAACGAGCTCGCGGAAGAATGGAAATATTTTTTTTTCTTCAACGGAAAACGAGGCGGCAAAGGAATGTAAATGTATTTTATCCATTGATTTATATAGAAAAAGAATAAAATTGAATTATTATTCTGAACGTTATTTGCACTTTTTAATTGTAAGTCTTTAACAATTTTTTGAATCATCAAACAGTACTGTTTATCCTTACCAGTTGAACTGTTGCCTTATGAATGTGTCAGTAGAATAATAAGTATCACTTGAAAGATATGATTGTGTCAGCATGTTATTACACCTTTAAAGAAGCATGTAAATTAGAGAATACATAGCTGTTCTGTATTCAATATATTCCCTGTTACACCCAATATAAATATTTATTTATTGAAAACTGATGTTGTTAATTATAAACGCATATTCTATTTTTATTTTCAGTGTAAAGTATTTAGAACAGTTGGTCAATAATAATATGTTCATACTGATATGAAAATTGAAATTATTTCCATGAACTACATTTTCATAGAACATCACCTTATTGGGTTCAAAAGTTGATATTTTTTAATAATATTTCTTCTCAAATATATTGTTTTATTCGATTTATTTAAAATTACATGCATTTTGAGTTAGTTCACAACAAAAAGTAGTAAGTGAAAGTTTGCTACATTAGCTCCATTATTTATTTTAAGATACAGTTAATTTTAGTCTATTATTACAAAGGCTTGCACATTATATACATGGCACATAATATGAGATCATAACATGTGCATGCTTCCACTTTTCATACTTCAACTACAGAGAAAGGATTCAAGTATTGATTGCAGGAGCATGGTGTGCTATGGCAATGGGAGGAGGGTGAAGCCCAGACAAGACCCCACCTCTGTATACATGCCCTCCATTTAAGTTTAACTTAAATCATTTCAGACAATCAGAGACAGATATACCTAATGTAATCTCATAATAAAATGCTTCTCTAATACTATCAAAGAATATGCTCAATATTTCAAAGAAGTATTACAAGTGCTATAAGATCAATGACCTGCATAAATGTTCAATGACTATGGAAAATAAATTTACACCTGAATTTAAATTAATTTATGGCAATTTATATTTTATTTTACTTTTTTCAGATCGTCAGAAAAATGATTAATATAAAAAATACGTGAATGACAATGGGCTGAAGTATATTAGGCATTGAAACTCACATTACTTTTATACAAGTGAGGTCCAGGTATTGATATTTTTATTTTGTTTTTATTTATTTGCACAATGTTTAATTTAATTTCAAACATTAGTGAGATGTGTTTTTTTATATTGTCAACAATTGATATAATTGCTGATGTATTTTTTATTTAAAAGAAAAGGAGTCATGGCAACAGTGGAAGAAAAGAAAAGAGTTGGTGGTTCAAAAGTGTCAGCCATTGCAAACATCTTTCAATCGAAACCACAACTGGACAATTTAAGCCATAGAACTAATAATATTCTGTCAGATGGTTTCAAAGAACCGGCTGTGCCTTTAAAAGAATCTCCTACGCAAGTCACAGTTGTTAGAACTGAAAGTCATGTGGCCCGTTTCAACAATGCGCGAGCTCTATTCGAGAAACTTGGGGAAGAAAATAAACCAAATAAACCGTAAGTGCATACATTGTTCAAAAAGATAGATGCACAAATAATATACCATGTTTTGTTTACTTTTTGTTTTCATCAATTTTATACAGGATTGACAGAATTGCAAAACCCAGCAACTTACACGGTTTAAGATCACGTTCTAGTTCAGCAAATTCTGGATCAGGCTGTACGTCTCCAGCTAGGTCACCTCGTCCTCGATCCCCGTCGCCTCCGGGTACTAGGGATCATTTAAGTAATTGGAGCGCAAGTGTACCAGCCTTAAACGCTGAAAGACATTTTGAAAACGGTCATAATCATGGTTTCGATAATGTGCCAGATAAACATAAATCGCGATCAGGATTTGGAAAATTTGATAAAAATTATGGGAAGGAAAATCGATTGGACGATCGTCCAGAAAAACCGGAGAAACCTGAAAGACGATTGAACTCGAAAGAATTAATTGAGAAACAAAAAAATTGGACTAGTCATTTCTCAAAAACTAGACCAAGCAGATACAATTCAGATCCAAATAGATCCGTAGTCCAAAGCTCATTGAATCAAAGCGCGAATAAGGTGAATGTTGACTCTGTTTCTGCAGGACATGCACAAAATGCCGCAAACGTTGATAATGAAGTAAAAAGACCAACAGATATCTCTACTAATCCAGCCACAAGATCTGCAAGTTTTTGTTCTGTTAGGTCATCAGCCATATCTCCACCTCCACCTCTACCGCCAACCAGAAATTCGTCGAATGTGAAAAAAGAAAGACCGGCAAGTATCGCGGCTGTGTCTCCTTCGGATATTCCTAGTAGTCCAGAGTATGCTACTATAAACAAGTATTTCGATACTTCTCCCACCATACCAGAGTACGCAGTTGTACAAAAGAACACGAATGTACAAAACAAACATTTCCAAAGAAACCAAGAACATCGGGAAGGTTCGAAGAACGTTGCTACTCCTGCGGGAGAAAGGACACAAGATGTGTTCATACCAGAGTATGCAGTTGTACAGAAGAACACTGCGGCCAAAGCGCATTCGCGGAATGCAGACATATCAAAAAATACTTCTTCTGTTCAGCATTCAAAGGGATTCAGTAATTCAGAAAGTAATCTGAGTACTAAAACTGCTCTTGCAAGCTCAAGTATCGATATATATTCACAATCGAAATCGCATGTTTCTCCTTATGATAGAAATTCTGATATATCTAGTCCAACACGGAGTATCTCGATAGAGAATATTACTAGTATTGCGTACGAAAATAAGACAAGGAAGGATAGCGACTTGCTTGACACTCCTGAGTATTTAAATTACCCTACGAATTCCATACGTTCACCGCCGAAAACTTCTGAATGGAGGAACGAGTGGTTAGCTAAAAATGATGAGATATTGAAGAAAGCGGCGGACTTGAAGAATTCTAGAGAGGTATTGGACGTGGAAACGAAAAACGATGTCGTTAGACCTGATCCAAGACCAGATTGGGCCAGATCGTGTATAAATACGGTCAGGAAAAAAGATAATCTGACGGATGAAAGGAAAATAGAACCTTCGAAATCTCCGGATCCGGAATTGAGACCACCTTCTGGAGGTACGGATAGCGCTTCTTCTAGTATGAGCTCCCCTAGCTCCCCTTCCAAGGATAGTAAAGAAGAGAAGGCAGATAAGGAAATGTCTGAAAAAATTCAAGCGGGTATAGTATTCGTGAATCATTTCAGTAACATGGCTTAATTTATACAAACGTATGTAATACATTCTATACACGTTTGAATACTCAGTTTATCACAAAACAAAAGACATATACAAAAGACACGAATTTAACGTAAACTTTTTTTACGGGAAAAAATGAATTTTTTTATTATTTTTTTAATTATCGGAAAATTATTGATATCATATTTTAACTTATTGATATGTTGCAGACTGTGGCAGTCTGCCAAAATACTAAAAAGTAAAAGCCCAAGAGGAAACTCTCCTCTTTCCCCCTTTCCTCCTCTTCTTGATGTTGGTTCCTCCTACTGGTTTCAACAGTATTATTTATAGAAATCTCTGTGTATTCTGTTCTGCTTCTGTCTGGTGGTACTTTGCAGCATTTTCTTCGGAAAAGTATTTTTCAAATTCCAATCACTTTTTTTCCAAGTGCAAAACAAAAAATACTTGTTAAAAATTAATTATCATCGTTAAATTATATCCGTTTTGTGGAATGTGGATTTGTGAAAACTTGGATATTTCCAAATGTGTTCCTTAAAAACGTGCTCCCTAAAAAGAATAGTATTAGTAAGGTGTAATGATATAGCATAAAATATTTTCTGCAAAGTATGTGCTCTTTTATACGTGTTGTATCAAAAACATTTTTACCAAAGTTTATTTATATTGCTTGTGCGATTCAATCTTTTAAATTACTAAAAATTGTAAGGTTCTTGTAAAAAGATATATGTTTCCGTTTTATTGTACAGTTATATGATAAATTTAACTATCTAAATTTCATATTATTTTACATACAAAAGATAAAAATATCATGTGTCTACGACTACTTTGCATTGATTGTCGAGGTATTTTTTTAATGATTATTTAACAAAATTATTTGTTATCATAACTCTTTAATATTGTAATATTTTGTTTAAGGTCGAAATAGTTATGATTTGGAACCTGAAGATCAAGAAAAGCCTGCATCGTACACAGAAGCTATTTCCGAAAAAGATGTTTCAGATAAAAATTCAAGATTTAGTGAAACAGATACAACTACCGTCATTCGTCGTTCTCACGTCCGTGTTGATCTTCAAGCAGCTGGTTTGGGACAACGACCACCATCTGTTATTAGTTCAGATCAAGAGTATCCAGCTCTAGAACACAAGGATATACCAATACCTTCGCCATATGCAAAGAAAATACAACAAAATCAGGAAGTTTCTGCACAAAACAATGAAGTTAAAACTCAAATAAAAGGAAGCACAGAAGAGAATGCGGTAATAAAAACTGATTCAACAAAAAGTTGCCATAATAAGATATCTCAAGATAGTAATCATGATCATGGACGAACTAATTCAGTGATCACAGAAGTAAATCAAAATGTAGTTTTAGATAATAAGTCAAAATCAAATATTATTAATGAGAGGCATGCATTTTCTGAAACGGTATGCCAGAAGACCGTGTCGAATGCCAAAAACGATCAAATTAAAATTTCTATGCGGGAAAAGATTGCAAAAAATAAAGAAGAAGTGTCTGGGAAACGTTCAAGTTTTGCTGAAGTTGATAATAAAGATCAAACAGATAAAGCCATTTTAAATACGAGTCTGAGTTCGTCAATCTCAAATGTCTCGAGTACTGAGAATTTGTTAGAGAAAGCTGTTATTAAAGAGGCGGAATTAGATGAAGCTGTATATCCTGCGAATACATCTAAAGTAACAACAAAAGCCGGTAGCCAAAAGGAATATATAACATTAGCAGGAAATACAGCACCGCTACCCAAATCTAATTCCCAGGCAGTAAACAGTATTTTAAATAGATCCATAGAGGAATCAGATCAACCTCAAACCACTTGGGAACAAGAGAAACTTAAAGCTGATCAATTAGCTAAATTACGATTACAAGAAAATAACTCGCCAAGTTCAATGCAACAAGTTAATGTACCTCAAAGCACATCTCCCGTTATTGCATCTCAACAGCACGTAGATAAGAAGCAAATTAATGAACACGTTGTATCTGAAAGCAGTCTTCACGAAGACAGTGATTCCAGTGACACTAAGACTATTACAAATTTGGAGTATGCACCAGTGGATATGCAACATGTTAATGAACAGAGTAATCCAAAAAGTGCAGTTGAAGCTCCATCCAAAACTAATCTTAATCAAGCAGTTCCTGTAACACCAGACACTATGACTGCTGATGAAGCAGAAAACCTACTAAGTTCCCGGTAAGTACATCAAATGAAAAATTATAAAAAATATATATATATATAGTTCTTTTTAAAAAAATTAGTTTATACTTGTATATTGAGAACAATCCGTAAAATACATCTAATTTGACATAAATGTTTTTCATATGGAATTGCATATTATATTTATAATAATTCTAGTTGCATAGCAAATCATTTTGTGGCAACTTGCAAGAAGCTTGATAATTTTTATTTCCTTATTTTAAATTCTAATATTTTCTACTATTCATGTTTATTTCAATGCGATTTCCAACAAACTCATTACATACTGGGACAAAACACAGCATCCTAGAGAAAAAGATAAGGTAAGATTATTGTTATTTTATGATTGAACGTTCAGTTCATTGATTACAATATTAAACTATGAAAGAACAAGGTGAATCATATGAATAATCAATTAGACAAGGATCAGCTTTATTGTCGGATGAGGAAGCACAAGAAATAGCAAGATTACTTTCTCCTACTGTGAATACTGAGGCTGTAAATGAAGGAAATTCTATTGATAAAAGTAAAGAGATCGACAAAGAGAGGGAGAGGGAGGATCAAGATAATACACCGGATTGGCTTTCCGATGTCCTGTCTGCTCCTGATACCAGTCTTATTAATAGCACCACTAATGATTATAGGTGAATCAGTTTGGTCTTTTATGTTTTTCCTTTTCGTCTTATAAAAATATTTTGCCGCTTATGCTATGATCTTATTTCCATTTGTTTCATTAAGCGCACATGAGGTGATTTTGTTCAAAACATACGTGGAATGGTAATAATTTATTTTTAACGTATTCAAATGTTTGTAATTTTTAGTTTATCCCATAGATCACGTAGCGATTTAACGATAGACTCGTTGACGGAGAGTCAAGTGGGTTCTGTAACTGGAAGCGAAAGTGGTCTTCTTGGTTCAGTTAGCAGTTTGAACGACACTCATGAAACTAATGACGATACAGAGACTGAACATCAGGATGAGTACATGCCTCCAATGCCAGGCAAAATTGTGAGTTTATAAGCATGATAATCGTAATACGATTAAACTAAATATATATTAGGAATACAAGGAAGATAACAAATTTGACGATATTCATTTAGGTGCTGGTAGAAAATGGAGTGCATTATTTTGAGGATGGCCATTTCTGGATGGAAGTTGCTGGAATACCGGAATCGGACGAGGAGAAAGAAGATTACCCGACAGATATACCAGTCAAGAAGATGACTAAAGTTACATTTGATACGGGGCCAATGAGAGTTTATTCTACTCATTCGGTGAACGAGTATGATCGTCACAACGAAGATGTCGATCCCGTTGCTGCAAGCGCTGAGTACGAACTCGAAAAACGGGTGGAGAAGATGGAGGTACTCAAACAGCATAAATACTGCACATGATATTCCATTATAAATTCATTTGTGGTAATAAAGAAATATTTATCAGGTATTTCCGGTAGAACTGATGAAAGGACCAGAAGGTCTCGGTTTAAGTATTATCGGAATGGGTGTCGGTGCAGATGCAGGACTCGAGAAGTTAGGTATATTCGTGAAAACTATCACTGAAAAGGGAGCAGCTGCACGAGAAGGTAGAATACAAGTGAACGATCAAATCGTTGAGGTTGATGGAAAATCTTTAGTCGGTGTGACACAAGCTTACGCAGCCAGCGTTCTTCGTAATACTTCTGGTCTTGTGCGATTTGTGATCGGCAGGGAACGCGATCCGAACTCAGAAGTGGCTATGTTAATACGACAAAGTCTTCAGGCGGATAAGGAAAGAGAACAGCAACAGCAGCAAGCTAATTCTGCTAGGTACACATTTAAACAATGTTTCTGATTTTCTTTTTAAGTAACTTCCCAATGATGGTTTATCCTTGCTCGCTAATGTCTATGACGACAAACTATGGCCACCTCAATGATGGCACGAGGCCTCTTGAGGTACTGAGGGAAACTAAACTCTGTTGCTTACATGTAAACTTTCAATTAAAGATATAAAACGTATTGTAATATAAATGTCCGTTGTTCCTGTAGAAAACTAAATTTTTCGGATGCCTCGCCCGATGGTCAACGATCTGGCGAGGATATTTCTGTCGGAGGGATGGGTGCAATACCAGGCTCTCCAGCCATGTCGTCATGTTCCGAAGGGGAACCTCCCCAAAGTCCTATTGAAAGTTACTTATCTGCTTCCGGTCGAAGTAGATCTCCTATTATTAGTTCATCGATGCCACCACATGCGCCTACTACACAAAGTGATGTTGACAGTTTGAGGCTACTTTTACAAGAGGTAATTTGTTTTTCTCTCAATCAGAACAGAAGATAATAGTAAGGAACGTGTGAGATACGTAGTCTATTACATGTATTTTTATTTTGATTGCCGCATTCCCTTACTTAATTATGTGTAAAATTGTTGATTTCTCTTAAATGTATAATTAATGAGAAATATATAGTATGGTCTCATTACTTATCATGTAGTAGTCTGCTTCATAATATTAAGAAAGTGGTGATGTTATTTGAAATTAGATTTACAATAGTCTGCATAGTGCACATCGCATTTATTTTTGCACGAAGTATATCTAGTATCATAGAAATACGTTCTTACTATACAAAATATAAACTACAGGAAGTTATGCACTATAGAGTATTGTACATACATGTATATACATGTATATATATATACATGTATATATAATTTAACTTACATTGCCAGTTCGTACACATCGGCACACCTTCATAGGTTCATAGGCTTAAATATATTTTTGGTTTTGCTTATGCACTGTGTTTGTTGTTCGCTGCTTGCAGAGTCAGTATAAACTAGCATTAGCAGATGGAGAGGTGGAAAAGCTGAAAGCTAAGGTAAACACATCAGATTTTTCGCATAGCAATTTTATGTGTTTATATATCATTCGCTTTTTCCATGAAATCACGCATAAAAGCCTTTCATTTCCTTGAATTGCCTTGGTTCATGTTACACATAATTTTATTATGTACTTTTCATTTGTAGCTTGTAGACTTAGAGAACAGTGGAGCAGGTAGCGAGGAGTACGCAGCAAAACTGCGTGAATCTGGATTACGACTCCATGAATCCGAGAGAGCCTTGGGTACTGCCAGACAGGATTTGGCAACGGCTCGAGAAATGCTTTCTCAAGCAACAGCTCAGAATGCTGCTTTGCAACAAAAGTATGCACGAGCAAGGAGAGCAGCTCGTGAGCTGCGCGCGGATATTGCAGCTCGAGATGAATTTTATCAACAGTTGTTACAAGAAAAAGACACGGAGTACAATGCTCTTGTAAAGAGTTTAAAGGATAGGGTACGTCAACAGTTGTAGTTACAAGGGAGCGGGAGGTGTTAAAAGGTATACACATTTAAAAAAATATATATTCTTTATGATTATAGGTTATCACGTTGGAAGTAGAATTGACCGAGACTCAAAGGAGATTTGGGTTGCCAGTAAGATTGCCTTACGATGGCACAACAGCTAGAATAGTTACACCCCAATTATCACGACGCCAGTTACCACCGCCACCTTCGTCCACTAGTTGTCAACTGTCAGACACAGAGACATCAGATCTTAGTAGCCCCGACGATGGTGACAAAACTGCAACGGTGGAGAGGAAATTGCCACTTCCATTGCCGGTCAAAGAAGAATTGGATAGAGCTGTGCCTGCCCATCGACTTCTTGATAATTCTGCAGGGAAAAGTAAGGCTGAGCTTGCTAGTAGGGGAGGTTTGGCAAACCGACAACTTCCTAAACGGTCTGGTGGCCTTAGCAATAGCAGTTCTGTACGTATACGGAATTTACGGTATATACGGGGAAGGAAATATAAATGTTTAATCGAATCAATTATTTAGGATTACGGTTTGGACGAGTCTGGTGATAATACTGACGAGGATTCTTCTTCCAAGCTTCTTTCTCAAGACACTAGTAGCAGATCGCCAAATGACTTAACGTCGAAGCAATCAAACTTGAGTTCCTATTCCAGTAGTTCTTCGATTAGTTCACTGAAGAGTAAGCATATGGAACCTACGCATCCCACAGCGATTCGACAGCATAGTACTATTAGTTCGCAAGTTCGAGCTATGACAGAACAGAGTTGGCCACAGTCGCAGAAAAGTATTTTTCCCTTATATTTTTCTTTAACGATCTGCGTAAAATTTCCAATGTTACATTATGTTTCTAACTTGTCGTAGATTTAACAGGACCTCCGGCATCTTTAGCAGAACAATTGAAGCAGGTCCTAGCGGAAAGAGAAAGACGACTTGGTGGAAATGATATGTCTTCTTCAAGGGAGAGTTCGGGAGACTTTAGTGATTTAAATAATCCGCACAACAACGATCCAACCTTGGTTACCCACCATTTAGTAGAGGAAATAAGACAGGCTGTAAACGAGGCCAATCAAAGAGGTAACATATTAAGTTAATTAATAAGTAGTGGAGTTCCTTTCGAACATGTTAATTATTTTCATAGTGAAAAAAGTTACTATTCCTTCGCCAAATGTTATTGGGAGCGGTGGAACGCCTTGGCATCATCCAGGTAGTTCACCATCCAGTTTGTCCTCTGGTGGATCGGTGAGCCCGCCTGCAGTTGATCCTAGTCCATCCAAAACAGGTAATACAGTTTTTCACGATGCAATGCAGCTATTAAAAGATTGTTTTTCTCCCTATTTGAATGTTCAATTATTATAATTCAATGCGGTGCTTGTATATACGGCATTACAAATTTAGATGCGAGTGAAGTTTGGTTGCCTCCTCATCCAAGCGACTTTGGTTTAGGTGACAAGAAATCTCACTTTTGGCAAAATGCCCCAGTAACGGATTGGTCCAAGGAACAAGTAAGTGTGAACTTACATTAAGAAATTCTATCCTCGTAAATGATTAGTTTATTATCACGTGTAACTTGAAACGTGACATTAGGTGTGTCAATGGTTGACTGGAATCGGCTTGGAGCGGTACGCGCCGCGTTTTCTGGAAACTGGTATCAATGGTGGAAACCTTTTGCGGTTAGAGTCTCGCGACCTGAAAGCTTTTGGTATTTATGGAGAAGAAAAGTCTCATCTGAAACGAAAGTTGAAAGAACTTAGAGCACAAGCAGACCGTGAACGCAAGGAGAGGAAAGAGATTGAACGGATGCGACGGAAAGCAGAAAAGGCTGCCAGGAAAAAATAGTTTATGCGTTCGATATGCATTTGTGCTCTTTACGAAATGCAATAACATTGCACAAAAAGTCGGTGACATATGGAAATTTGATGTACGATATTCCAATGATGTTCGTAGTGTATGTATTTTCGATTACTTCCGTCTTGTATTTAATTCTTTAGCGCGTTTAAGCAGTCATTAAGTAAATATTCTTGTTCGGATTCCTAGATATCCGAAGTTTTAAACTTTGATTATTTATATACTCAATTAAAAAAACTCATCTCCTTAATTTTTGCATTTATTTATATAAATATATACCTTTGTATTCATGTTGCTTCATTCTTCTTGTAGTATTTGTATTAATTATTTATGAAGCAACAATGAATATGATTCAAATAATGGAAGCATGTATGATGGTACAAACATGCTTACAATGCCAGACGTATGCATGTGATATGTATGTAAAAAATCCAAGCCATTTAGATAAATTGTAATAAATTTTCGATTATCTAGAATTCTTTTTAAATAATTGTAAGTATATTTTTTTTGTAGTGATACAAGTTTCACGTTACTAGAATATATTATTCCTGTATTTATTTTTATTATTGAGTTGATTGTGTAATAACAATTTTTCATAATGCATCTCGCAGAATGTTAGTAAATTAGAGTTTTAATGTATCTATTTCTTGGAAAAAAAAATGAATTTACTATGTACATCATTGAACTATCAACGAATTTGTAATTTGTCAATGCGATACGTGTCATAAATTCCATTTGTAGATTGATCGACTTACAAAGTAATTCTATTCACCTGTATTTATTCCATCAAAATTTTCTGAATAGTTAATACGTTTCAGAATGTTAGTCAGTGGATTGCATTTTTTTTTGTTCAAATCATATCAAATTGAAGTATTAACGAGGTCATGTTGCTACCGTTTTCAGTGTTCGTATTAGGCATTTGTTCTACTTTTAATCTTGCGAAATTTGTACTATACGAACGAAGTACTTGATTACCCGCACAACGTCGATTTTATTGCGACGATAATTTTTAAATTATGTGATGATGAACTTCTTTAGCGTTTTTTTGTATACTTTAGACATTCCATGCGACTATGTAGTTTTATCTTTATTAACAAACAATTAGAATCACTGCGGAAGCTTTGATGCTTCGAGCGAAGTCCCTATATATGCGTGGATATATAATGTATGTTAATACGAATCCAATAACCAAACGAGAACACGTATTGAATATTCATTCGCGAATAGTAATTACGGGACTCGCTTGGATATTATGTAGGACGAACGTACCTTATTGTACGTACACTTATTTATGATAATGTTATGACAAACGTCTTGTACAATGTTAAGTACTTTATTTTCTCTTTATACTGTTCTTATCATATAATATATCCTGAACAACAAAGTTTCTTTTATACAAAACTCGAGCAAAGTATTTGGCATTGATATACATTGTACATAGTACACAATGAACGATCAATAATATTGTAATCTACGAAAAAAAACTGAGTATGTCGTAAGGCGTGTAAGAGGCATAACTATAGTGTCATAATATCTTTATAGAAACTAGTTTTTCATTTCCTAACTTAAGCGTTTATCAAAGGTCCTCCATTTTTTAACGGTACTTCGTATATCACAATATACTGAAATCAATTAATACTTGTTGTTTCTGTTATGTACAACGAAATGTAGGAAGCGAACAGAAAAGTTTCATCAAAAGGAAAACAATTTTGCGTCTCAGGGTAATGAAAAAAAAAGAAATTCATTCTGGAAATGCGCGTATGTTTAGTGAGTGCAAAAAAAGAAAAGACTCCAGGATTAGTACGTCCCGCAATTCGTTTATGAATAGTATTGCAATTTTCTAGGAGCTGACGTTTGATAAAAACCGACTGATTTACAATAAGTTTGTAGTTGATTTTCAACGAATGGCTTAGATAATGCAATTTAATAATGATGTAACACTTATCCAAAAGTAATAGTCTGGCCCAAGAACCAAAACTTATATACCTTTGTGGAGCTGCATAGTATCTAAATGTTTTTCATACGTTTTTCGATACTAATTTTAAATTATTGCTCATGAAAGGGAAAAAATTATGGTTCCATGCATAAAGACGGAATGTGGGAGTTGCGTGAACGGCAGCTTTTTAATATTGTCTATGAAAAAGTATTGTCAATAAATACTCTTAAACGTTTTAATTAAAAGTAATTCATACAATATATTCATAGTCTGTTGATTTTTTACCTAATAAATTAAACATTAAGGCGAAATTGTAATGTACAGTATATGTGTGTCTAAAATACAGATCATAAATGCAACAATGTAATCTCGTAGAGTATGCATTATTTATTTAACCAAAATACGCTAAAATATTTTCTTCTGACAGGTAACCAATGGATATTGAAAATTGTTTGATCAATAGTCTTTCTGGATACCGCTACAACAGTCGGGCGAAACGAAAAATAATTGTTGTAACAGTCTTATAGAACATCGTACGAATTCATCATTCAAAAATTGCTGTCATCGGTAAAGAAAACAATGCCAGCTATAGTCATTAAAGGTTATACTTGGAGACAGACACCGGAATCTGTAATTCTAACCGTACCTTTGAGTGGTAATCCAAAGAAGGTGGACCTGTTTGTAATTGATAATTACGTGAAGGTAACAATATTAAATAGTTCTATTAATCTCTAATCTCTGAATTTCTAAGTGACTGAAATTTCTAATAAGATCAATCAATTGTTATTCAATTTCTATTTTTCTAAACTGATTCGGAATTAAATCAACTTATTAGGTCAGTTTTCCCCCTTTCATATTGGAGTTGTTTCTATGGGCCGATGTGGTCGAAAAGCGAAGTAAATGCACCATTACCGATCGAGAAGCGATACTTTCTTTACAGAAAACAAAAATTAGCCAAGAGTGGCCCACTCTTGAAGTAGAAAATATTGACAATGAAATTAAGAGAACATATCGCAACGAAGCTTTAGAACGTGCTCAAGTAGAGGCCGAAGAACTCGCGAAAACCAAACAGGGTAGCTAACGTCATCTGTTCAAATTATTTCTTAATGTACTCACAAATCATTCTCTACTCTAGAAAAGCGTCAATATTTGCAAAGAGAGGCGGTTAAAGAACAAATCAACATTAGTACAGCCACGTTGAACAAAATTGATGCGACGAGGAATGCCCACAGAAAGGAAGCCATGCGGGAATTTGACGATTGGAGGGTGAAGGCTGAATTACCGTTTCTCTCGGAAGTCGAAGGCGAAGTACAAGAAAATAGGAAGGCTTACAAGTAATTGCATAAAATATTAATTCTTACTATTTATCGAATTAAATAAGATTATTCTAACACATATTTATCGGAAGGCCACCGTTAAAATGGTTCAAAGATGACAATACATTAAAGTCTCAACCGTTGACTGATGACGAAATATTCGGCACCGATACAATTAAGAGAGCACTCGAGGATAAAGCACCGGAAGTTGAACGAGAAAAGACAAACGCGAGCATTGAAAATATCGAACAGAAAACGACGGATAATAAAGAATCCGTTTGTAACGTCTTGGATGGTTCGAGCGATTCGGAAGACTCTGAATCGGATGATCAATCGAAATCGTCTTGTTCTATTAAGGAAATAAATGAAAAGAAATTGCGTAAGTTCCTCGAGAACAGGACGAAATCGAGGCCTGGACTGGAGTCCGTGAAAGCCGCGATAAATGGCAAGTTCGTAAAAAGGAATAGCATATTCGAAGAACCGTCGAAGTCGGTACCATTACCACGGAAGAAAGGTACCATCGGCGTCACATTTTCAGACCGGAAGTTCCCCACTCCTGCTAGGGAAAGTTCTCGCGTCGAGGAGGAAGAAGTATTTTCTTTTATCAATTTTCCTAGCGAGCACGATACACGTTAACGCTTTCATCAGCGTTTCTATTAAAATCTGTTTTATTTTAGTGGTTGAAAAATCAAGCGGAAGCGAGACGCAAGACAGGATTCGACTCGGCGGATCTGCGACCGGAAGAGCGAGACCCACAGTGGTTGCAAAACAAAGGAGAGTATGTTTTATATTTTATACAGTCATTATTCGACACTTCATTCAACGCTAGGTTTACGGAACACGTCAATTTGACTCAACTTGAGGTTTATAAATATTATTTATGAATTTAGCATGTACCTTAATTGTCTATTTTTAAACATCTAACTTCAAAATCTGAATCGAACATGAATTTTTCCAGAAACAGTAACATAAACCGTACAATAAATGTTTGTAAACCTGATCTGGAAATCAACGAATCGACAACATGTTTGTTTCAGTGAATTCTACAAGGATGGAAACTACATGGCAGCGATTAGCGCCTATAGTTTCGGCATTAAGATCAGCGATAAGTTAGCGTCGCTTTACGTGAACCGATCAGCCGCCCACTACGCGCTGGAAAATTATTGCAGATGCATAGAGGACTGTTCGAAAGTGAAGGGCCAGTTAATAACACTTTTGACGCTTTGTATTCGCCGACATTCTATACAGTGACGTTTTTCGTTCGCAGGCACTGGAACTAATGGAGCCGAAATGCGAAAGCAATCGAGAGTTGAGAGCCTGGTGTCACGCTCGACGAGGCGCGGCACTCTGTAAATTGTCCTCACCTCAGCATGGCATTCCCGAGCTCAAAGTTGCCCTGGAATTGGCACCGGACAATGAAAGGATAAAACGCGACGTACTAGTTGCAAAACAATACTTCGACATAAAGGATTAAGAGGCAAGTAGTAGGTAGACTAGATCTTAAATTAATCGTGAGCCGGATGGTAAGCTTCGTCCTCGTTTGGATGGAGGTACAGAATAAAATGCAACGTTACCCCCAAAAAAAGAAAAAACATTGATCGTTTATTAAGTTTATATATTAAAAAGAAAACAATATATTACGTTAGTAAAATATCACAGTCGGGAAACCTGAAAGGGCGTTAGAACAAGGAACTTGTCTTACATTTATCTTGACGTCTTACTGCTAATTAAACGAACTTTTTGTACACGTTAATCCGAACGGGACACTAATCGTTAACTACTTGGCGATACTCGGATTGGCTGGCGGATAGAATCAGTCGAATTTGATCAGTTTCTTATCGACGCATCCGCACTTCGTGTGCTCCAACGCGTGTATCACTTCATGATGTCTGTCCCGTTGCCGATCGATCGTGTGCTTCACCGTGAAGACGAGGCTAACGTTCCTGGTCTCGATAGGCGCGCAAATCTGTTTCGGATCGGGGCAACACCCGGCACCGTTGCAACGCGTGAGAACCGTAGAAGCTGGATAGAATACTTCATCGGGACTCGGACCAACGGTTAAAAGCTCCTCTACTGGCACCGCTCTCGGCTGAGGCATAGAACACCGAAACTCGTGCACCAATTGCACGTGATTCAGAAATCCGCTGTCCCTGTACAATTCGGAAACAACTGTCATTGTCCGTCAAAATCCTACGATCCGGAAATCGCGTGATTCAATGAAAATTACCTGTGATGCCTGGCGATCATGGGAAAGGCAAGTTGTACGCAGAACACCAACAATATAAAACTTCTCATTTTTAGGTCAGTACCGCCGCCCGATGTGTCACCCTCGAATCAAATACAGAATCGAAGAAGCTATTTCCGTCTATGGTGTTCCGTTCACTCCGATAGATTGTCCGCGATTGTCCTGAACCGGCCGCTGCGACTTCTCTCTTCTGCGATCTGAATTCTTTCTCCCTCTATATATATGTAACTTTCATCCTCGGCCCGGTGCCCCCTTCCTCCCCTCTTTCTCTGATTTCTCTTTGTCTCTCCTCTTCCGATCTGCTCCGCGCCGTATCGTTTTGTCCTGTCCTCGGACCGATTCGCGGCGTCTCCCTCTTAGTTCCCGGTAAACTCGGAGGAGGGATCGAAGCAAAGCGTTCCGAGAACATCACGGAGATAACTATAATTACAACTAGTGG